CCCCGCCATCCTCCCGCCGCCCCTCACAACGGCCGCCGCGGGCGCGAGGGGGCGCTAACGGCCCCCGCTCCCCCCTCCTCCATCCCCGCGCGCGCACGGCGCTTCCCGCCCTTTTTCCTCCCCTCAGGGCTGAGGGCGGGAAGGGTGGAGAGTCCTCGCTGGGCTCCCTCGCTCCTTCTCTGCTCCCTCGCCCACACCCGGTACTTTTTATACTGTTTTAAAAACATTCTGCTTCCTCGCCAGCACTCCACTGTGTTTTTTAAGCAGTGTTTTGTTGTGGGGAGATTTTTTTTTTTTTTTGTTTTCTCGCTTTCAGGCCACTGAGGCGCTTGGCAGCGAAGGACGGCCCCTGCCACCCCCTCCGCGCCCGTTGTCACACTTCAGCCCCACATCACTCCTCCAAAGTGCGCAGTGAGCTGTGTTTTTGACTCTGAAGTGGTTTTTCCGGCTGTGGGACAAGGAGAGGGTAATACAGGGGAACAAGGGGGAAAGAGGCTCTGTCATGGCTTTATCTGTCACTGCCCTGGACTATGGAAGGTGTCCCTGCCCATGGCGGGGGAGAGAGGGGAGACTGGATGAGCTTTAAGGTCCCTTTCAATCCAAACCATTCTGTGATTCTGTGTTTCTGTCACTTGCTGTGACAAAGACTGAAAGTAAGAGCTGGGCACGTCCTGTGGCTTTTCCTCCTGAGGGGCTGCAAGTGCTGGGTGTTCTCCAGCTGCAGGTTTCTGGAGAAAGTCATTACAGGACGTGTGTTTTTCCACTTAAAAACAAAACCCATCCCTTTCAGTACCTAAAAGGGCTCCAGGAGAGCTGGGAAGGGATTTTGGATAAGGGTCTGGAGTGATAGGACAACGGGAACGGCTTCAACTAAAAACAGATTCAAATTGGATATTGGGAAGAAAATCTGCTCTGTGAAGGTGGTGAGGGCCTGGAAAGGAATTACAAGGGAAATTGTCCCTGGAAGTGTCCAAGGCAGGGTTGGAGTGGGCTTGGAGCAACCTGGGATAGGGGGAGGTGTCCCTGCCACGACAGGGGTGGAACTGGAAGGTTTTAAAATCTCTTCCAACCCAGACTCTTCTGGGATTCGGTGGTTCTGCCACTCGTGATTGAAAGCAAGCCCCGGGAAAATAGCGTTGGCTTGAAAATGAAGCCAAATGCCACAGTATCACTGCAAGTACTTCCAAGTCAGTTACATGTTTTGGAAAACTTGCTATGTCTTTGAAACTTTTAAATATGTAACTACTTTGTTTCTAGAGCAGGTGATACAAAAACTAAGGAAGCTGCCGGCAGGGAAAGGAGGGTCCTTACATTTGACCACACAAGCGCACTCGATAACGCACCAGAACGGTGGCCAAGCCTCTGGAAATTAACAAAATAGTATTTATCCTACCTACCTAGATCATATTTATCACTCCAGACCATGCTATTGTCCAAAAATGATGTCATAGTATTTGCATAACAAATATGGAACCAACCAACACAGGAATAAGAGTTATTTTTATAGAGAGCTGTGAAAGTTTTAACTCAATGATTCTTGTAAAAAAAAGCACTTAAGTTTCCTTTAATAAAGAAAAGAAAGATTTGGTAAAAATACAAAAAAGTGTGAAAAAGGAGGTATCAAGTTGTTAATGGAAAATAGTTTTACTTAAGCTTTCTTTTTCCTTAGACCAATACATTAATTCAAGTGGTCGGTTAAGCTGTAAGAACTGTCTCAGGGTTTTCATTTTTAATGTCCTTGAGCTGCTGAGCAGGTCAGAACCTGGACCACCTCAGACAATCCCACGTTCCCATGTGCTGAATGTTTTCAGTTTTACTCAAAGTGAACATTTCATGCTTACACCATGCAGGCAAAATGATTCAGTTTGTAACGTGTCTGCTATAAACGAGTCATATTTCAGCCCCAGCAGCCTCAGTTCCTAAGGAAGTTTATAGCTCCTTTCAGATTCTGCACAGCCCATCAGTCCCCAGGTTGCTAATTATTATGAAATAGTATATCTACTATAAAGCTTTGGCTGCAATTTTGGTTCTTTATAAACTCTTAGTCAGTGTCTTTAGCCAAATGACTCAATTATTTTCAATGCTATAACATTTCTAAGTCCCAGACTGGTAAATTGTCATTTATAGATTTGTATGCTTTTTTTTTTGGGGGGGGGGGGG